CTGCCAGTGGGAGGTTTATAACACTGGCCGTGACCTATAGAGGAGACGTCTATTTCGTGCCCGTACTGTATCTGTTTTCGTGATTGTACTTGTTGACATGCTATAAGTTTAATAAAGGCACTCCATATTTTACTTACTGAGTTTATCTCATAGTTTTTCCTTGTCCACCATTTCAGGAAGTGAAACTGAGGATGGGGAAACTACGGGAAGTGACGAGTTAGAAGGCTAGCCATATCGTAATTGGATATAAATTTTAGATATGAATCATGATCTTGTATTTGGAGATTTATGATATCAGAGAGATTTTATAATTTGATCTTCAGATTTTGATGGTATCAGAGTGTGAATGTGATAAGTTCCGAGCCTTGTGCATTTGTGGGACCCGTCTCACGAGTGCACGGCGTCTGCCGCGTCTCGAAATTGGGTTTTGGGGCATGACAGATTTAGTGGTATCAGAGCATAGGTTTGATTAAGATTTAGTGGTATCAGAGCTTAGGTTGAAATTAAGAGCTTGGTTTAAATTAAGAGTTTAGAATTAAATTAAACACCTCCAGATTGAGTGGCATCAGAGCAGATTGAGTGATATCCGAGCCTAGGTTTAATTGAATACCTAGGATTTGTTTTGGACTTGGCTAGCCAGTGGATTGTAGAATCGTGGTGAGACGAGTGATGGGGTTATATAAGGGATGATTCTGATTCATGTTGCCTGAATTTTCTCATCCATTTCGATGAGATGGTGATCTGATTGTTCTTGTTTCTTGCCTTCATACTCTGTGTGAAGTTGTGAAAGTAATCTTGCTCGTTATGTCCTGAAGACCTTGTTTTGAAACTTGGTCATTTTTTTGATTGTCTGCACTTGTTTAGGCTTGTTACGTGAATAGAATTTTGTATGCTCTTTTGCCACAATTGTGAAATCTGGGGAGTTGCAGAGACTTTTGTTATTGATCCTGTTAGTCTCTACAGCATAACTGGTGGAGAATTTGTTTTGTTTGTCACATGACTAGTGGAAGATGGGCAACTCTCGACTTTGTAAGAGATTCCAGGCTATTTTAGCAATGTTGTGTGTTTTTCTAGATGCGTTTTAGGAGCTGGATTACTTGGTAATTCCGTTGCTCCTTATCTTCTGAAAGTCTTGTAGTGAAGTTTCATTTTTTTCCATTTGGAGCTTCATGATCTTTTTATGTGGCTCATTTTTCTATATTGGTTAATCAAGAACAGTGATCTTTCAATTGAAATTGTCATCTTTTTGTGAAGATTGGCAAGTTGTCATAAAGTTAAACTCTCTATTGTTGCCAATCTCTACATTCTTGATACTTGGAAATTGCTTGAAACTCTTGAATCATCTTGAATCTTTCTTGATATTGCTTTGTACTTGTTCTTGAAACTAAAATCCAGAAATGGATAATGATTTTTGAAATCCTCATTATCTGGATACTTGTTGAAATTAATTCTTGCATTGTTCTTGGAATCTAGTTTGAGTTGTCCTTGGAAACGTTCTTGTTCTAACTCTGCTCTTGCTCAAATTTTGTATACTGCTCTTGCTTGAATCTTGCATATTCTGCTAGTTCTTGTGTCAGCATACCTGATGATCTTCTTGATTTTTGATTTTGTTCATATGGACACCTCTTTAGGAGGGGTGACGATTATCAGAAGATACCTATATGAGGTATTCTAAATTCTTGTCTCTTGCAAGTGTTAAATTCTGTATCCTTGATGCCTTAGCTTTGACTTGGCTCTAGGATGTCTAGGCTAAGCAGATTGTAGCCTCCATGAGCTACGAGGTAAAGGGGTAGTCCTTGAAGTACTTGATACCCTAGAGTTTTGTTCCAAGAGAAATGGTTCTTTGTCTGGCTGCCTTGATTTTTGTTTGCCCTTTTAATTAGAAGACAGTAATCTTCTATGCATCTTGATTCCAGCCATTGCTTTGTTCTGTTAATTAATTCTAGTACTTGAGGTGCTAGATCTTGACATCCTAGTATATCTGCTCTTGAATCCGTGTTCTGATTGTCATTATTGAAATCTCTTTTGTGGGCCTAATCCTTGAATTCTATTACTTGTTTCATGGTTAACTATTGTCTTTCAATTTTGACTGCTTGGTTAAATTTGATCTTGATTCTTGGTGAATGCCATTTTGTTGCTAAAATTCTTGAGGCATTCTACCTTGCACTCCTATGTTCTGGTATTCTTCCAAGCATTCATATTTTCCATTGATTTTATTCTGTTGCAATTCTTGAGATCCTTACATGTCATTTGATGGTCCTAGCTTTTAACTCTTGTTAATTGCTAAAATCCATTTCTTGATTCCAGTTGCTTGTTAAACATGACTTGCTTATTGGTTAACCTTGTTTTGTGGCAGAATTTACAAGGCATCCATGCACTTGTTCATTCATTCATGATTCATATATTTATTGGATGCTTATCCATCTTTGAAAGAGTTTAAAATTTTGTTGTAATTGTCTTTAAATCTATGCCATTTTTTGTCAACTTGTCTTGTGATGGGTTCGAAGCGTAACCCCACAACTGTTTCTTTTGTGGCTTTGGCAGGATTTATTTTTATTCCTTGTGCTTCCCATACCACCCCAGCCTCTAGTAGCTCATTTCATGGTAAACCTTGTTAAGTAGCTAGTGTCCTGCTGTTATGTGTAGTTGTGATTTGATATCAGAGTGGCGCAGCAGAAGTGTAATAGGCCGTGTTTTGTTCCTAGAAAGTGATGAGGCAATTGTTTTGTCTCGGATTGTGTGAAGCCACTCACCAGTTGATATGGTCCTCAATTTGAGTTTTGGGGACAAAACTCCTTTTTAGGAGGGGTGAGTGTAATATCCCAAATTTTTGGGAATATTTAAGTGTAAGTTAGGGACTTGATTGTGAGAAAATATTGTTTTGGGCCTAATAGCCAACATTCCCAAACTCGAGGAACTTAAAAGAGGAGAATTTGGATAAGGATGGCTTATTTCTTTTCTCCCTTTTCCTTTTTCTTCTCCAGCCCGTTTCTGCTCTTGTCTTCCCGCTACAGCCCGAGAGAAAAAAAAAAAAGAGAAAGGGAACCCAGCCAGCCTTTGAGAAACCGGTGAGATAAGCTTGGTTTTCTCCTTCCTTTCTTGCTCTAGAACACTTCTAGAACCCAGAAATCTCCCCCCCTGTAGGAAGCTTCCGGATCTGCTCTGTCCTTCCTCCCCTGTCTGGCGGCTGCTCTTGCTTGTGGGGTGTGATTTGCTCCGGTTTTTGGTAAGAAATAGTGCGAATTCTCCCTTCTCTAGCTTTAATTGCCTTGGGTTTGCCTTAATTGCTCTTATTTCCTTCAATTTTGGGTAGTTCCCGTGAGTTTCTCCCCTGCACTACCGCCGGCTTCTTCCCCCTGTTAGGTCCGGTTCTTGCTGGAAAATTCTAGTATGTGGCAGCCTTAAACCATTGTTTTTAAGCTTGATTAAGGTAGAATTAGCTTGATTAGTTTGCTGCCGTGTGATGTCCGAATTTTGGTAGAAAAATGGGGGAAATTCCGGTAGCCTTTGAGCATGTTTTAAGCTTGGTTTAAGTGTAAATTAGCTTGATTAATTGCTGTGATTTTTGGAGTGAAATCCCGTGAGATTAACTAGTGTTTTGGCCAATTTTGGAAGTGGAGTTACTGTTCACGTCGGGGTCACTGTTTACCGGCACTGTTCATCGTTACTGTTCACACCCCAAGGGCCAACAATTAACGGGGATTTAAGTGATTAGTTTGTGATATAAGAACAGATTTGGAGATATCTAATAATGTGGAGATTTATGGAAATAACATTGTGATTAGGAATGATCCTAATGATGATTTCAGTGTGAATTTGTGATTGTACGGTATTAATTGTGGATATTTTGATTAGGATCCTGATCGTTCTGTCAGTTAGGATCGAGATTGAGTGCTCGGTTTTATGCGAGTGAGGTAAGTAAATTTATGGTAATGCCCGCACTGTTTTAAAAGCATGTTTTGATTTGTTTTTGAAGTTGTGGCGGGACTAAACCCGTTTTACACAAGTATGACTGATTTGAAGTGAAATGTTTTATGCTTTTCATTAAATTGAGCATGCCTACTTGGAATTTAATTGATTGTCCTAATGATTTGAAAGTGATTGGTAAAGTATGATTTTTTTGTTAACTTTTGCCTGTTTTGTCTCCGATGTGGTCATGTTTCTGTAATCCTGCTACTGGGAGTTAAACGCTAGCACATGTTGACATGTTTCTGATAGAATCGGTTCATTCTGTAACCCTACTAGTGGGGGTTAAACACTAGTAATTTCTGTAGCCCGCCAGTGGGAGGTTTATAACACTGGCCGTGACCTATAGAGGAGACGTCTATTTTGTGCCCGTACTGTATCTGTTTTCGTGATTGTACTTGTTGGCATGCTTTAAGTTTGATAAGGGGCACTCCATATTTACTTACTGAGTTTATCTCATAGTTTTCCTTGTCCACCATTTCAGGAAGTGAAACCAAGGACGGGGAAACCACGGGAAGTGACGAGTTAGAAAGCTAGTCATTTCGAAATTAATATAGATTCTAGAAATCATGATCTTGTATTTGGAGATTTTATGATATCAGAGAGAATTTTATAATTTGATCTTCAGATTTTGGTGGTATCAGAGTGTGATATGATAAGTTCCGAGCCTTGTGCACTTGTGGGACCCGTCTCACGAGTGTACGGCGTCTGTCGCGTCTCGAATTTGGGTTCTGGGGTGTGACAGGCGACTCATTCCTTTTACATTTTTCACACTTAATTTTTCATCATCATTTTTCTTTAATTTTAAAATCTTAAGTGGTAGTCAACAGTTGTGTAATGTGTTGAACTAGATGGTACATCAATTAGTATCCTAATTATTACTCAGCCTTAGAATAATGGATTATAATTCATTATTTAGAAATACATCGATTATATGTACTTGAATATATGTATATTTATTTACACTAAACACATTATATAATTGAAGTAAAAGTCATATTATATATTTAGATAAGTTGTTTTAACTTTAATGCTAAGTAGATATAGAAGTTAGATTATTATATATGGTAATTGAAATGAAATTTGAGAAAAATTAGTAAGAAGTTTGATATAATTTGATTGTTATATGGAGAATTAATTTAATAAGGATCATATGTGTTGTGCTCACTAAGTAATTTGAAAGGGTATTAATTTAATTTAATGAACCTTTAACTTCCTTGATGGATTTTCTTTACGAGATCCATTGGGTATTTATTTGAAATGATATAGATATTTTAAAAGGCTCATTGGGTAATTATTTAGGATATATTGAAGATTTTAACAATTTTTATAATCTAGTAAGATTATATGAAAAATGAATTTAATAAGGAATTATATATACCTTAATTATCAAGAAATTTAAAAGGATATTAATTTAATTTAGTCATGTTTCAACTTCTTAACATATTTTCTTTAAAAGGTCCATTGAGTATTTATTTGAGACTTTAGAAAGATCTTGTAGTATTAACCCCTCAGTATTTGAAAGCCATGTTGGACTCCTACTAATCCGAAGTCGAGTCACGTGGACCCTATAAAAGGGGAGGCTCTCCTAATATCTGTTTCTCCATTTACAAGATTTGAACTTAGTTCTCTATAAGCAAAGTCTCAAGACTTTGCTTGTGGGGAACCGAGTTCCTTCAACTTGAACCAAGAAGTCATTGGTAGATTTTAAAAAGATTGTAAAAGGCCTATTGAATAACTATTTGATATTTTTTGGGGGTTTAAAGGAATTTTAAAAATCTCATTGGATATTTATTTGAAATTTATTGAAAATTTTAATAATTTTTATAATACAGTAAGATAAGATATAATATTAAAAATTATATAAATAAATATATATATCTATATATAAAGATTACTCTTAAAAGTATGATTGACTTCAGAGTGCAACATAATTGAAGCATAATTGAAATAGTGGAAGTAAAATTGTGTTATAATTGTAATGCCAAAGTAAGCTCTATACAATTGTTATTGTTATACTAATTAATTAATATTGTTGTATTATAATGATAATAATGTTGAAGTAAGCTACATATTTTTTAGTCAAAGTAAGTTACAATTGTTTTATGCCCATATTTTTCCTAAGAAAGGTCCATTGGATATTTATTTGAGATTTTATGAGTATTTTAAAAACATTTATTAAAGATTTTAAAAGATGCATTAGATATTTATTCAAAATTTATTGATGATTTTAACAATTTTTATAACATGGTAAGAAGTAAGATGGCAATATATAATTGAATTTAAATTTTAAAAAGGTTATTAGGTATTTATTTGGTATTAATTGAAGATTTTAAAATGCCCATTGGGTAATTTTTTAGTATTTATTGAAGATTTATTTATTGAGAAATTTAAAAGGTTTATTTGGTATTTATTTAACATTTATTGAATAATTTAATAATTTTTATAATATATACTCCTATTTTAGAATAATATATATTTTTTATTTTTATAATTTCTCTCATAATAATAGTCATTTTTTCTTTTTTAAGGAAGACAAATATATATGTTTTTTACTTGAACTTATGATTATCTCTCAATTTTAATTATCCATCCTCTAATTAAAATAGTTATTTATTTTTATTTATTTTTTAAGGGTAAAATAGAAAAAAATAGAAATTGTCCCCAAATTTTAAATTTGAAAAAAAAAACATCTATTATTATGGAAAGAAGGGAATAATAAAAAATAATAATAAGATAATAATACAATTTCTAAAAGTTCTATATAACATTTTTGGGACTCCAATTTATTTTGGAAGTCAACACTAATATACACTTTTCTTTAAAATATATTTGTATATATATAATTATTAAAGTCTATGTAATACCCTAAATTTTGAGCACTTATGTTAAATAATTTATTTATTTAATTTAGGTGTGAGATGACTAATGCAAAAGGGGTTCTTATTGGGGGACCAAGTTGTCTCATTCTTGAATCTTAGGGATGTTGGCAAAAAAAAAATAAAGAAAGGGATGGACGAATAGAATAAAAGGGAAAGGAAAACCTAATTCCCTTTTCTATTTCTATCTTCTCTTTTCAGGCTTCCCTTTTCTCCTTCTTCTGGTTTTCCTTTCCTCTTCCATCCTAAATTCAAAACCTGTAATACCCCAAAAATTTCTAGAATAAATAAGTGAGTTAGGGGCTAAATTGTGGAAAAATATTGTTTTGGGCTTAATAGCCGAAATGTCCAAACTTGAGGGACTTAAAGAGGGAAAGATTTTGGATAAGGATGACTTCTTTTCTTTTTCTTTTT